AAAAAAAAAAAAAAAAAAAATCCAAATAATTTAAATAGGATCAATTTTTCAGTTACCAGTCATCCACGTCAAGGAAGCCCATAAGCAAGCCTAAAGTTTGGTTATTTGTAAGCTCTGAAGACCTTTCAGCAACAGCCACTGTTTCCATGTCTAAAGCAACAAACAGGTCTACTGTAACATCTCCTTGTTTCTCATCATCCATGAGGTCCTTTCCAGTTGCCGCAAGATTGATTTTCCCAATTTTACTAGCCTGCTCATCCAGGGGAACAACAAATATTATAATTAAATTGAAACTTCAAAGGAAAAGGAAAAAGCAGTCCAAAGTGGAAGCATCTAGAAATGATACATGGAAATCCTGCAGACTTGATAAAAAGCAGTAGACTTTTAGTAAATAAATTCAACCACCTCATCAAGTCTCTTAGCTGAAAAGGAGCTATAGTGATCAAATGCTTCCTCATCCTTGGGAAGTAGATGTGAATATCTGAAAGAATACCATATTACAATGAGAAGTGAGTCAGTGTACATTCAGAAGGAAAGAGCTCAGGCAAATTAACTAGAATTACATCATCATGGCCCAAAAACAGTGAGAAAATCATCAGAAGATATGCGATGTCAATACTTATTTCCAAAGGTCCCTCTAGTTAGTGATTCCGAACACGTAAATAAACGAAGATACGTATCAAAAGCCCTGATTTTAGGTCGTCCGATTAATCGCGATTAATCGCGATTAATCGTCCTGGTCGCTCCCAAGTGCTCGATTAGGAGGTCCGACTCGACCAGCTCGACCAGAAACCTGGTCGTCCGATTAATCGTCGATTAATCGCGATTAATCGTCCGACCAGGACATATATTTGTCTTTTTGGGCTGGTATGTGGGCTGCTGGGCTTGGCCTGTTTGGCCTGTTAGGGTTAGGATATATATAGGAAGGAGGCAGCCCGATTAATCTAGCTGGTCGACGATTAATCACGATTAATCGTCTGGTCGGTCCGTGGTCGACCAGGTTCGACCAGCCGACCTGAAAACATTGATCAAAAGAAAAATCAAATCTGCAAGAATCGGTTCATTGTATTCTAATTTCAGCCCCAAACTATTTTTTAACTTCAACCCCTGGACTGAGGAAATTTCTGCAATCTCATCCCTCCTCCGCCAGCTAAAAACTCCTGTTCACCAGTGAGGAGGATGGTGAACAATAGAGATTTCATGTAGTTGCGGGATAAGGTAAAAGAAGGTTCAGCAGTAATATACAGAACTGCTCAGAATTTCCAAGTTATATTATATTTCTTTAGCAACTAAATCAACTCCATTTTTTTTCCTCTTCTTCAGTTAGTCGTGCTTTATAATGATGGATATTGATCGCAGATAGCAAAAGAAAAACTTGAAAATTTTTTACTTTTCATTTTTTTTTTTTTTATGGAAATTTCTCCTATTGGAAATTCTCCTAAACAATTTCTTCATGGGGGTAGTTTATTCTCACAGCTCTATCTCCCTCTCTCCCCCCCCCTCAATACATCTATCTATGCATGCGTGTATATGTGTGCAGGAGTAAGTGGGTGCCTGTATGTGACTAATATGTTTTACTTCATTCCTTTTGCCAAGATGGAGGGTTTTCGTTGTGAATGAGTAAAGAAAGCAACCTGGTGGAGTCGAAGGGCATGTATATACTTGATTTGGGTTCCACGTGTCTTTTTATTTTGGTCGCAATTATTGAGATTTTAGAATATATATGTACACAGTTACGAAAAGCCATTTTGTTAAGGTTCAGGTAATAATATCGATTGTGCATCAAAGATATATGCTATAATAAATGTTCTATACCCATGGAACTTTTTCAAACACCCAAAAATATGCAAGATTATTTCCATTTTAAGTTATCTTGTATCTACTTAAGATCCAGAACTACAAGGCTGACATAAAAAATAACACATAGTTTTGGATTTAATAACTTTATCTTGTTAAGTTTTGTGGTGTTCACACTATGAGGAATTAGTGGTACAATAATGGATAACTGTTCAGATACACGTAATTTCAAGGTTAAACGATCAGCTATGTACACACGTAATTTCAAGGTTAAGCGATCAGCTATGTCCGCAAACCAATACCTTAGTTTCTCACCTACCACAATACATATAGAAGATACAACAGAAGTCACAAACAGAAATAATTAAACTGAATAATAACAGCACCCTGATTAAACTAATGCCAAAAACATACAGCAGCAAACAACCTTAAGCTCCAAAGAAGATACTCAGAGGTGAAGTTAACTTACATGCTATCAACTTCAATGAACTTTTTCTTCACTAACAAAGCTGTGAGCTGATAGAGCCTTGTCGGTACAGGAGTATTAATTTCAACGCGTTGGAAATATTGGAACTTGAATCCAAGAATGTGTGATGCGTGGGACTGATGAACACAAAAAGTAGTTTAACTACACATTTCCTAAATCCATAAAGCATAAACAGATGAAAGATTGTACAGAATCGTAGACGGGTGTAACTTGAAGATAAAGGATAAACAAGAAGACAAGCATCAACAATACCTTCGGAAATATTGGAATTAAATCCAAGAAAATGCTATTATCAAGCTGAAGCTCAAAACACTCCAACACCTTTCAAAGTGCAGAAAAGCCAATAAGAATCAAACTGCACCAAGCTAAACAACAGAAGTACTACAACAAATTCTTGATGACAACACGATAAGGAGCTGAATAAGTACTACTGATTCAACTTACGATATCAAAAACTCGATTAGGATCCAGATCAAAGTGACCGATCAAAGACTGCAAAATATTCAGTGATACGAAAAAATGAATTCAAGCAAAGGGGGAAAAACAAGGTGTATAATAAATCTAAGATTAGCTTAAACCTTAATAATGCCAACTGTCGCTGCTGATGCATTTTCATCTGATGCTTCAGGAACCTGACAAAGCAAAGTAACCTGAAAAATATCAAATATTACTATGGTTAAATTGACGAAGAAATATGAAAGCTTTCAGAAAGAATAAGGGAACACAAAACACAGTAACAAAATCCAAGTTCTCACAAAATCATATAACATTGAAGAATCATAATAGCTTCACCAACCGACATCAAGTAACCAAACAGTAATAATTAGTATAACATAAAGCCTTGAAATAGAAGCTGTTGATATCCGAGTTGCGTCAACGTAAGGTTCCCAGTTCGGAGACGAGGGACCAGGAGAGGACGACCTCAAAACCCAGGCCGATGTCCAAATAATTTCGAAAGGCCGAGCTAACCCGGAAACAAAGTTGACGAGGATGACGAACTATACGACCCTTGAGGTCGGCACCTTGACAGTTTAGTGGCTGGCCCGACCTCCGTGGGCCCCGAACAGCAAAACGGACTCCCAAAGACCAGGAGATCAAATAATGGCGAAAGTCAGATTCCATGAGACCGGCTCCCACATGGGTCCCAGATCAGGAAATAATATTATATTTCCACTTGGCAGTTAATGATTGCCGATGGGGCGCGTCAACCTAGTCGACTACCCTAAGGCGTCTAGACCAGCAAGGAGGCCTGTCAGCATTAAATGCCCTACATGTGTGCATTAAATGCCTGACAGGTAATCATTGAAGATACGTCAAATCGCATTTAATGTCGTCAAAGCGGCGTTGACCTATCACCCTCCCTCAACGGTGCCAGACGTTAGGATACTATAAATAGGCAACCCATTTCATTTATTATGGGTTATTGAATTGCCACCAACTATTTCTCTCTCTCTACAATTAATAATTTCCTGTGAATCTCCAAAGCATAACAAACGTGCCAACCTCAATATCAGAGGCCGACCTCGCTACTAATATAAAATATCTCATGTTCCCGTACATCTTCCTTAATTCTTACCCTTACCATTACTAAATCTTTGTTTAACCGTAGGATCTTACCATCAAGAGAAGCATAATAAACAAAAGTTGCATTTAAAGTCTCCCGAGAAAAAATAACTGATACTATCATATTTTAATAATAAATCAAACTAATGAAACATATTACTATGCACACAAGGAGTACAAGCATTTTTGTCAAGAGCATTGGATATTAAATAAAAAATGAATCTGCTCGATAAATTTTATTTCCGTTGAAACTACGATTGGATACAAATAGTTTCCAAATAAATCATTATTCATCTAATCTTACTATTATCTATCGATCTTATCAATATATTTAAATAATAAAAATCAATCATAAAAAAAAATAATAATTAAAACTCACTATCCATCTACTCAAAATATTTTTAACTACCAATTATTTACATTCATAATTTTATATTTTTTATAACATCAACTTTAATCATCACATTTATCTAATATTCATTTACAATCTCAAAAATATTACATTCTTCCACCTAAATAATTTTACTACTCAATAACTCACTTTATCCATTCAAACAAATTTTTTCGAAATTATCTTATATCCAATCGTAAATATCCATTATATGACACCATAAGAAAAAATGGAACAAGAGAATTCTATTAAAACAATTATATCTACAACCTTCTTCGAAATCCAAATTCGTACAATGCAATGAATGAAGCTCCAACATCCAGAAAACCCATCATACCACATATTTTTATGCACTAATTTAGCTTTATTCTACAACCATTCCTACGGAATAATTTAACATAATAATATAGTATGATTCCCAATAAAATATTATACAAAAGCATTTAAAATTTGTTCATTATTCATATTCATGAATCAAATATATGCATGGTTCATCAAAAGAAAGCTCATAAAGAGAGCTCCATTTTGTCAAAGACACCATACCACCACCTAAGGAAGTTCGTTTCCCATTATATTGAGTATGCACACAGATAATCAACACAAAGATAACATGGTCACATAGAAAGGAGACAAATGGAGTATAACTATTAGATTGCAGAAAACCATTCCTCCAATACTCCATCGAACCCCATTAGATAACATATCTAAATGCGAATAATAAAAAGTTTTGCACACACTGACAGGGTGGCAACAAAAAGAAGAAAGAAGAAAAGAAAATACCAGCTTGGCATAGCCCTCGCTTTCTTCCCGTAGCAAATTAAATTTCGTTTGTTGGTAAAGAAGACGAGTATTTACTCGGACCTGAAACGGACATGAGATTCTGAAGTGGAAAGACATGAAATACAAAACTATCTCAAAAAGGTAGTGTAGAGAATGTGCTACAATAATAAATATGTAACTGAAACCGAAGCACAAAAATACCTCTTTTGCCTTCAAATCTGCAGCCTTTATTTTTATCATTTCAGATTCCCACAAGAACTCCTCCTGCAGAAAAGATTTTTCTTGTCAAAGAATATTTTGCTTTCATAAAAATGCATCAGCATCAGATTCAGTTCTCACATCAGAACGTTCCTGAAAAAATCTCAATGGTACCAATGTAGATTCCACCAGCCATTTTGCCTAAAATAAATAAGAAGAACCAAGTCAATGTAAAGATATGAGAAGAGAAGAGATAAATTTTGTATAATAAACTTAGCAGGGGATAGTCATATTATCAAACATAACTTTAAATACTCAACTGTACGGGAAGTTTTAATTATTATGTCTTACTTGAAAAATTAGAGTAAATAAATGTATGTTTCAATAAATAATCCAGGCCATGGTCTACCCTACTACCGCCACCTACTTTTAATTAAAGCATATTCTAATTTTCTCTAAATTTCCAACTTCAAAGTAAGATTTATTGAGATAAAAGGGGCAAGAGGCGTTTGTGAATTTGTGTGAACATATCTATTCTCCTCCCACCAATTTTCTCATCTTTTCACTTCTATAATTTTCTCACTTCTCACCTATACCTACTCCTCTCCTAGAGGAAGTGTATTTGCTCGAACAACCACACACGTTCTTGCTCATTTCTCCAAAGCGTGTTTAAAAAGCTTATGGATACCTCTTAGAGGTCATACCATGATGGTTAGTTCATGTACATGCACTCAAGATTGCGTCTTAAGGGGATCATGATTAACCTACCTACCCATCATGTGATGGGTCCATCCTTGTTGTTTGGCCTACATCCAGAACTGCTACCCTAGAATTGGGCCACACCTATTTTCCAATTTGCAGTGAATATATGGGACGTATTTTGAAATTGATTCACATCCAAGATGACAAGATTGTTCAGGACGTCACACAATTGTTAGAGATCAATTATTATTTCATTTGATTCAAAAATTGGGCTTTCGAGACCATTTGCTTATATTATCCATTAGGGTTAGGACTCTATTTAAGTAGACTATCAGATACCTTGGGTTGATCTTTTGTTAAATTCGTAAATTGAGATTGTCGGTCTTAAGCTTCGGGGTGAAGTTTCTTCCGGAATAAACAACTCCGGGGTTAGCGAGAGTTTTATTATCTCTTGAACCCTTCAATCTATCATGCTCGCCCTTAAGGATTAAAAACCCTAACATCTATCAAGAAATTAATTTTACTAAAAAAAACCCTCTGGGGCAGGGAAGTTCTTCTCAAGTTGAATACATGTATGACACTTAAGAAACATAATTTAGAGGATGAAATTTAGTGGAAGTCAAATACTAACCAGTTTGATAAGGCGAGAACGATATTCACCAAGCATGCTAAGCTGCAGGGGATGTGAACATGGAACTAGATTAACATTGTATTCAGCATGGGCTTGTACAAAACCATGCAATGCAATTTCTGATGCAAGTGGAAGCAACTCATTTACTGGCCAACAAAACTTCGCAATCACAAAGTGAAGAAATCAATAAGCTTTTCAGAAGGATAATAGAGCATTGAGTTATGAAATGAGTACTTCTCCACGACAACATTCATTCATTTTTCCAATTCTCAATCAGATATCCTTAGCATTCATTATCAATAAAATTGTTGTTTGGATAAAAAAATTTTAGGCAGAAATTACATCTTGATGACTCCATTTCCTCATTTCAGTAATAACACTTCAACTAAAAAAGTGTTCCAAATTGATCTTCCAGTCCTCTGTACTCAAACATGCCTCTCAACAATGCTGAATATTGTTTTCTCTTTTCCATATATTGAATCTTGTTACTGAAACATGAGATGTAGCTTGAGCAAATATCAATCTACATCATTCAAGTTTCAAGAAAGCTACAGCTTTTCCTATTGGAACTATATGTGAAAGCTGAAATAACAACTACTATCCATTATATGCTCTTAAGTCTCTAAAATAATTTTTTTTTCACAATTTCAGAAATTCAAACATTCTATGAAAGTCAAGTTAAATCAGCACCTATAAAACACAGTTAACACCAAAAGTGCCATAAGCACAAGCTCAAAAGGGTTGATATTTTGATTTTGAACTACAAATAATGCCTAGAGAGAGCAATGATTTATTCTCTTTTATACTTGTTACCTCAAAATAACAAGTGAAATATATTACTAACAAATATCTCACAAGCACATGTTTCGAGGAGATACTAACAAAAGTCCAAAGAAGCCATAAAAAAAAATGTTTTAAATAGAGCTTGCAGAAGTAAACTAAGACTAAGGAAATATGTGTGCAACATGATTTAGAACTTACAAATGTAAATATACTAAACAAGTGAAAGAAGAATGCTAATTTGAAATTCACTAAATGATGTATACACATGTCAAGATATAGAAATAGAAATACGCATAAAGAATATTACGTCTTGAGCCATTTGTGTAACAATATCAGCAAAATATGATCCTACATCCTCCTCCGGACCACAATCCAAAAACTCTACAGCCTCCAAAGCTGCTTTGCATTTCTGGTACGGCAATTCCCCTCCAACCTACATACCAACGAGAGACGCAAGATTTATCCACAGTAACCACAATTTTATAAACTTTAAAGTAATAGACACAAAAACATTAATGAAAAAATCATTACTAACATTGAGAGAAACACTAAACTTCCAATACTATAAACAAATAAAATCTAACAATGGGCAGTAGAACACAGCACAAAACTCGAAACAAACAGCAAGACACACCTACGTGCACGCAAACAACCAGAAGAAAGAAAATGAAAAGAGAAAGAAAAGAAAAATTGATGGTGAAAAATAATCTAGTAGTTACAACAATATCTAAGAAATTACCCCAGGAAGAATGCGTAAATAAATGAAATGATACACCAACATAAATAATAATTCCACGCATATTAATTACCACGACGAAGCAGAGCTCATAGAGAAATCGTAGAATGGGTGCAGGCTCAGGAAACTTAAAATTCGGATTTGAGTTTTTCAGTTCTTTAACAGACTCCTCCGTAAAGTACACACACTCGAGAGGAGGCAGCGACATTTTTGAGCTCAAGCCCAAGCGTTCTGAGGAATTAGAGCGCGTAGAATCAGAGGAATTAACCTAGAAAGAGTGTAAATTTCAGGCTTCTCATAGGCTGAGATTCATTGAAGCTAAATCTCAAGGGTTTCAGGCGAATTTCAATAGAGGGTGAGGGTTTGGGACGGAGAAGATAGAAGTCCTACGCTGTTCCCAATTTTTCAGGTATTTTTACTTTTCCATTAAATCATATTAAATCGTCTCCCGTTATCTATTCTAGTGCCAAGTTTACTAGAGTAGAGTTGATCAAAAATCAAATTCGGCCTCTCAATAGTTCGCGCTACATTCTACTCTATATATATTATTTATATTATTTAAATTTATTTAATATATTAAAATATTATATAATTGAACATATTATTTTATAAAATAAAATATATCATGATATTCGTTGGTGAAATTCCACTAGTTTGAAATATTGTTCTACAAAAAATTATTATTCTTATATTATATTTTATTTATTTTATAGTTATTCGGTATAAAAATATATTTCTTAATAATAATATTTTATATAATTCTAAAATTAAGTTATAAATTTAATTTGAGAGAATGATAGATGTAAAAACTTGTCAATTAAGGAATTTTAAGATAAATCAATTGCATATAATAAAACAATAAAAAAATAAAAATTGTAGAGTAATGAATAGTACCGCGTCAGATGTAGCGAGATACTGTTCATAACTCTAGAGTAGTGCAGAAATGTAGCGCAACATTGGAGAGCAACTTTGTCTCTATTTTAGTGTATTACGCTAGAGTAACGCAGCACTGGAGATGCTCAAGAGCTACTCCAGCGCTGCGCCAGATTTGGTGTTTTGCGCTGGAGTAGCAAGGATTTCTCCTCCAGTACAGCGCCAGAGTTATGCACCAGATGAGAGTCGGGAACAGTGTTGCGCCATATGTGGCGCAACACTGTAGCTCGACGCTATAATTCTCATTTTTTTTTTTTTGGTTTTTTATGTGTTATTATTGTAAATTTTTTGTATAATGTGTATTAATAAATGTATTTTTTATGTTAAATAATTTGTGCAATATATTTTTATGCTAAATAATTTTGTGCTTTTTATTTATTAATGTTTTATAATTTTATTTTGTAATTTTTTAATATTAAATTGATACCATGTGAATAAAAACTTAACACACTCAAATAAGTTTATTTCATTAAAATTAAAAGTTTACAATACACATAAATTATTTGAAATAAAAATAAATAAAATATATTTTTATTATTTGAGTAATATACATTTTTTATAAAATTAAATTTACATATATATACCAAATTCATTTAAAATAAAATTGATAAAAGAATTTTTTATTATTGAGTAATTAACATTTATATAAGATTAAATATACATATATACCAATTTATTAGAAATAAAAATAAAAAAAAATATATATATTTGATGTAGAGTAAAAATATAGAGAGAATGATCGGAGATGAATGTTCAACTCTATTCTAGAGAAACAAAAGGATGATACTAAGGACATGAAAATCTCAGTTTTCCCCTTGCATAAGAGGTTACAAAGTTGACCAAAATTATTTCCATAAATGATCATTTCAATTGGGAATTTTGAATGTAAATGAAATGTTTTAAGGTTGAGATTTAATCGTCTTGGATGGCCAGTTATCTATCACCAAAAAGGGCCGAATTAAGACATGAATCTGGATCGAGAAAAATATTTGTTCAAGGGTAAAACAAAAGGTCCGAGACATAGAAGAAAAATACTAGCAAAAAGGTTCTCGAGCAAAGTTAAAACGAACGACGGCAAACGAACCATTAATAATAACGACAGTGAACAAACGATCAACAATTCACGCGACCAAAAGATTTGAACGACCTATGCCCGCACGAACGAAACGAACGTCGAGAAATATAACGAACAACGACAGCGAATGGTTAACAATTTACGGTTGACGATAAATAATAGATTTAAACGACTAAGCTAAACGATTAATCGAAATAAACTCCAACAAAGGCTAAAGAATTAGAGAATAATTTAAGTAGACGATCACGTCTACAAAATTATCCGATACACGAGATCAACTAAACGAGGATATCTTAAATAATAGATCGGAGCTAAAACGAGGATCTTCGCCGAGCAAAAATACATATAATAGAAACGAGACGAAAACCTAAAATACGCTAACTCATCTAAAACGAATGGGGCGCTACAACTGGTGTTGTCACAAAAAAATTGAGTCGAATGTACCTTCATACCATACTCAGAAAGAATGTGCTTCATTCAGACTAGTTGTGAATAGCAACTCCATGTTGCAATATACTCAGCTTTCGTGGTTTAAAGTGAGATACAATTTTGGTTTTTGCAAAATCAAGACACAAGATTAAACCTTATGTAAAAGCAGCCACCGACGGTGCTTTTTCTATCGTCAAGGTTCCCAGCCTAATCATCGTCACAATAACCTGCAAGACTCAGGTTTGTATCAACAGAGTAAAATATCCCGAAATCTGATGTACCTCCGACATATTTAGTAATGTGCTTAACAACCTTCAAGTGGGATTCCTTTGGATCAAACTGACATCTAGCGCAAAGACCAACACTAAAACAAATTTCAGGTCTACTAGTAGTGAGGTACAGAAGACTTCCAATCATACTTCGATAAAGTGTTTGATCTACAAATGTACCTTCATCGTCCTTAGACACTTTGACATGAGTGCCCATAGGAGCCTGAGGGTTTTTAACATCTTCAAGACCAAACTTTTTAACAAGGATTTTAGCATACCTGATTTGATGCAAAAAGATACCATCTTTATCTTGTTTTACTTGAAGTCGAAGAAATTATGGAAGTTCACCAACCAGCCTCATTTTGAATTTAGAGGACATGAGTTCGACTAAGTGATTGACCAACTTCTTTAGGCTTGATCCAAAGATGATGTCACTATAAAATGCACGTAAATATGACGCATGTCAAATCCTCCAAACTTAATCGTTGTTCATCCCCGAACAACAAATAAGCAAAAACAAACCACGTGCATGGAAAGTGATTTCAAACAAGAAAAGTCTCAAGTCACTTAAATAATCAAGATAAATTCAAGTAATATCAAATACATATGCCCCAACTCTTACCTTGATGAAAACTTTGAATTAATGAACTCTCAAAATAAGGTCAAATATATATGTGTCTCACTCAAATATCTTGTGAAATATCAAAAAAAATAAAAAAATAGAAGGGTACGCTCACGTTAGTTTGAAACACAAAGTTAACCAAAAGCTTGCAAATCATCTACATTTTTACTAAATACAATTAATGTACGTGAACTAAGAATTAATAGGTCTTTTGAGTTGTAATGTAGGTTCATTGGACAAGGTAGGAAAATGTAGGCCAAGTGACTAAAAAGAAAAATCGAACAAGACATCGATAAAAAATCATCATCTGTCATCTCCAATTATCTCCCAATAACAACATACATACACAACTCGATAAAGTACAATACAATATATGCAAATCTCGGCACTTTTTTTCATTTTTTTTTTATAGAGACCTTTTTCCCAAACAAGAATAAATTGCAAGGACAATATTTTCTAGATATATCTATTGGAGATCATCCAAGTGTCCTAGAATAGTTTTCCATTACACATTACTCATGACTCAACAATTCAAATCAACAAGCAAGAGGAGTAGAATCCCCAAAATTAATCTTGCGAGCTCTCTTTATTTTATTTTATTTTTCAATCAAATGCCTCAAATCACAAAAATAACTAATAACCCATCTCATACTCATTATTCCCAAAATAAAAATCACCATAGCTCACTATCACATAAAGCTTCATTCAACCTCAACATCACCAAATAATTAAATCATCACCCAAAGGCTATCAAGAAAAGGCTCAAGGCTCAAACGAGTTACTAAGATAAAACTTGGGAGAAATATAATAGGATAAAATGGGCTAGATAACAAAAATCGGCTAAATCATTTTCAAAACTCCAGTACAATATTATAATTTTCAAGTAAAAACCAATGCAAGTTCTAGTATCCAAAGTATTCGACTAGTCACACAAGAAATAATATATAATATAAGACTCAAATCCTCCCAAGGCAAATAAATCATTGGTTCAAAGCAATAAAGTTATTCATCAGGACATATAATTCATGATCACAATCACATTATCTAAATTAAAAAATAAGCAACTCAAAACAATTCACGTTTATCCACCAATCATACATAACACACAAGACAAAGCAAAAAATATTCGACTCAAGAAACTTATTAGTAATCTAAGAAAACAAATAAACGTGCATCCTAAAAATAAAAATAGCCTAAAAAAATAAAAATAAATATAAAAACTCATGCAAGCAACTATATGATATGTAATAAAGCGATAAAAATCAAGATATACGACACATCTCTCCCTTAAACTTATTTTTCAAAAAGAATTAAGTTTGAAATAAAATAAATGGTATATCTCAAGTAACTAATTGATAAGTCGAGCGAGCTCCACCGTAAGTAATCCTTGCACCCTTGAGCACGATCATCTTCTCTATGCTTCGCTCGAACACTCGATCAGCGCCATTTTTTTTATTTGTTCTCACTTACTTTTTTTCTTTTTACAGATTTATTTTAAAATAAAATAAAAACAATTAACAATTGGTTGCCTCCCAACAAGTGCTTAATTTAACGCCTTTAGCTAAACGTCTTCTGAGTTTTCAATAAGGATCATTCTTGTTCAAACCAACCTCCTCTTTGATCTTCTCTTGGCTTCGGCTATCGTCTTTTGGCTCTGAATCTTCCAACTGTTGGTGTTATATACTTAAGCTTTGCTTTAGTGGATATTACACTTGTTATTCCTTGATGAATGAGAATTATGTTTGGTTAAATAAGTTCCACGTTCTGTTGTTTTGCATGTAGATAAGTGGGTCGTCATCGGGCATACCGAAGATCACTATATCAGTTACTTGCGAAACAAGAATCGTTGGTTCACAACCTAGATGGAATTGAACAACCCA